CCCTTATCACCTGAATCTCCTACTAGATCATCAATGTGTTCTTTTTAACCAAATATCTCTCAGAGGGGTGTGGGGAGGGGCTCCTTATTTTCATCTAAAGTAACAGACAGAGAATCAGCACTTTTGAAACAGGGCTGAAACAGAGGGGATTATGGGATGCCGCAATGATCTGTTTGGTGTTTGGAGCCAAACACTTCAGAGACATGTTTTTATATATATATATATGAGACCTATAATATATTGATGAAAAACAGTATAATAGGGGACCTTTAAAGAGACCAGCAGCTTACCACACTGCATGTAATCTTCCAGGAAGCAGGACCAGTACAGGTTCGGCTGGTTTCTGCCCCTCGCTGGCCTCAAACTTCGCTGGGTCGCAGATCAACATCGTTCTCCAGACGCACAACTTCGCCAACACAACATGAGAACAAAGATGCACCTTCTACGTCAGCAGCTACGACAACACGCAGTATGTTTTGACACAGAGAGAAAGAGTATGGGCTGTTGTTTTTTAACAGCTGGTTAATTTATTTTATGTGTTTGTGTAAAGCAGGGGTCCAAGGGTTTGGCTTTTGCAGCTCGTAGCAGAAAGAAACTGGAGCAGATGGAGCTGATGCTGCTCACACACTCTCCGGTTTACACACTGGAGCTGCACAGCCCCAGCGGCAAGGTATACGTCACACATTATCACTCACATCGCAGTTTTATATAATAATCATTCAAAGTACAATTTAAAAAATCTGTTTTACCTCCCGACAGAGTCACACTCTCCTCCTCTCCTCGCTGTATGAGCTTGAAGAATGGAGGGAAGCCATTCACAAAGTCACTACAGACAGTAAGTCCAGTTTCTTTCACACCAATCTGCCACAAGATTTTATTTAACGTTTTTTGGGGTCTAGAGCTTACTAACAGCAGTACTGGAGACGTGTCAACACTGTGGTGGTTATTGAGAAGTACGAAGTGTTAGTTAAGGGAGAAGGTGCTTTGAGTCAGTGTGCATAGGGGAGAAACACATTTGAAAAATCCCGTGGACCCAAACACCGTTCTCTAAGGTCACACACACACACACCAGTGTCATTGCATGGGTTCTTACTACATACGCTAAGAAACACAAGTCTGCATAGTGCATCATCAACAAATCAGCATCAACTTAACTTTGAAGTTTATCAAAGCATTGTTAACCAAATGTTTTTTGTTTTTGATTGTTGGATGGACAAAGCAAGCAGTTTAAAGGATTTTTCTTAAGATGGCAAAATGTGGTTTTATTACCATTTAATAAGCAAACAAGCGCCATATAAAAAGTAGTGACAATAAACAATAGCCTCAGTCTTAACGAAGCTAGCGTGAACAATAGGCTTTATTCGGGTTAATGGGTTTAAAAATACTGTTTGTCATCGAAAATATGTTTGTGTTTTATCATCCTTGCCAATGACTATTAAAGATAATTCGCAATGATAAAATACATACTTTCTTTTGTATAATTACATTTTTGATGGAAATAATAACTCTATAAACCAGTTCAAACACATTCTATCAAATGCATTAAATTGCGTTCGAATGGGAACAATGAAATGTGATTACATTGTAAGCGTTTCAGCCTATAAATTGTGAAGTAACCAAAGCCTCACTCGCATTATTCTCCTAGCTTGTGTGTGTATTCAGTCAGCTGACTGGAGCCTATATTTGCTGTGTGTTCCTCAGACATAGAGACCGTCCCCCCCGACCTGCTCACCCTCACCAGTGCATGTGTGAAACTGAGAATGACGCAGCAGCCGCCACTTCACAGCACCAACACCGGTACTACCACCATCTCTGTCCCCCCCCATC